ACCTGCTTAATTGATGTAAATTCCATACAAACGTTTGAGAATCAATTTCTGAGCAGAAAAATCTTCCACAGAAAGGGGATTTATATTTAAAAACACAGAACTCAGTATCCATAAAATCCTGCCATTGTAGCTTTAGACAATGACCCAGTTAATATAGCACAAGTATATCTCCCATCTGACAGACCAAAAACTAAAGTTTGTTTCTCTACATAGGTAAGTTTTACTTCAGTATAAACTGTCCTTCAGGTACTATAGCTTTTGATAGGAATCCTGTCCTTTATCACTCAGATATAGATTTCCATTTTTTTATATACTTCAGCACTAAAAGACTCCTACATACAAGTAAGACTTTTTAGTATCACATAAACATCCATAACCACAGGAGACTGTAGCAAAGGTATGTAGCACTGGGCTATCATACTTGCTGTCTGTATTAAAACCTGAAGAATTTGTAATGATTAAATCTCAGTCTATCAAAAGACTTAGGCCCATAATCCAAAAGGACAGTATCCTCTATCAAATACCCTGATTACAAGCAGGTTTGTCTGATAAGACTGGAACCTGGTATTTGAAGTAGCCATGGTTAGTAATGAGCAGAAAGCTTTGTGAACATGCTGGAGGACACCATCGATACTACATGACATTTATTGCTTCATTCTTCTTTATATTATTCATATACTGGAAGAATACAGTTAGCAGGCTCTGCTCATGGATTACTAGGTATGGGTAAGTTTGGTCTGTTTACCATCAATAAAACACATTTTACATCCACAGTGGCAAACATGTCAAAGACAAATCAACCAGTATCTTTTAACCAACCTTTCAACACACATATATCCCTCACCAACCATTCTGAGGTTAGTGAGGGATAAAAAAACAACCCAATCAATCAAGTCAATATTAGGACTATGCCGTTTTTAGAAATTTGGGAAAACCCAACACATAAGAAAGAGCCTTAACTTCTCTTTTGAGATAGTTCAGAGAAAAAGTCAGTTGCCAAGGTTTTAATTTGTCAAATGTCCAAGTCAAAGCCTTTGACTACCTAAAGGTCCTTAAGTAATTGCGCACAGAAAAAGCTTCAACATTTTCTCTAATCTCAAAAAAACTTACTGAATTGAGTACTACAAATCAGAGTTGTGACTCAATTTACAATCAGTACCTCTTGGTCAATTCAAAGATAAGTAATTTCAAACAACTCTTTGACGCTTCTAATTTTCATATTTTGACTCTGTCTTATGACTGGTTTGAAGAATACTTAGGCACTTAGAAAAGAATAATGCAATTATAGGAGCTAAAATTCCAATCTTTTTATGTGGCGGCAGGAAATATTTTCTTTCTTTTAATTCTTTCTTCTCCGAGTTCAGTTTTGTATGCTCACCAGGCCCTGCTAGGAGCTGATAAAGGGGCTTGAGTAGAACACAAGGAAGACACAGCTGGAAGAGAGTCTCCTGAAAGTTACTGAACAAAGGCAAGTATGTGGCACCTGCCCTTGGTGCTTCACCTTCAATAGAAGCAGGTCAGGCATACAAACACTGCATCTAGCACTGAACTTCCTTAGCCAGGGGTGAGTGGAAGACAACCTATCTTGATAACCAAGACAGCTTTTCCAGGTTATGCCAAGTCCATCAAAGGAATCAGGAACTCTACAATTACAACCACATACATCAGCAGCTCTTTCAGGTTGAATATTCTGCAGTCCTCCACACATTTAAGAGAGCAGTATTCAGAAGTTTTTATTATGCAATTACTCAGGATAAATACAAGTATTTATCCAATTAAAAAACCCAGTAGTTTAATAGTAGGTTTATTATTGGAGTAATTCCAGCACAGTTAAACTTCATATGAATTTATATATTATGATTATTGTATCAAGATGAGGGCACTTACTTCAATATTTCAAACAATGGGAACCAATTCTAATTGCCCTGCCAGGTCTGCCAACAGGCTATGAATTTTATTAATTGTGGGTAAAACCCCCTAATTTTCCTGCATCAGCTTTTCCACAGTGTTCTAACTAGATGCTTTCTTCTGTGCAATCAGCAGCTACCTAACTTCAACATGCAGGTCATCAGTATCTTAAGTACATGACTTGATACTAACACAACTACAGCAACACATCCCCAGCAGCCTCCTAAATCAGAGGAGGTTCCAGTGCACTCTGGTTAGCACTGAGAGGAATGGGGAGGGAGGAGAAACTGCTCCCTTTTAGTCAAAGTCTTCTGTTACAAGCACCAAAGAAACTTACATATTTGGGTATACAAATAACTTCACAGAATACATCACTAAATGAAGTTTCCAGAAGGCTACAATCTCACCACCATTTTTGTTGCATTCTGGAATAAAGGACTATGCAATACTTTCTTTTTAAGTTAAAGAATAACCTCTTCTCTCAATATCTAGTGATCTTTTCATGTGATTCATCATTGTCATTCCTTTACTGGACCAGGAACAAAGTAGTTATCTAATTTTGGCTTTATTAGAACAAAAGGAATTTGCTGCAATACTTTGAAATGTTGCCATGAAACAAAGCAACCTTATCAGATTAAGCCTTTTATCATAAAAAATACTAAAGGATGCTTTGCTAACATGTTATTTCATTGCTTAATCAGATACCCTAGTTTCTCTTCATCTTATTTTTAAATTGTCATTCAATTTAATAGTGGAAGAACTGGCTTCATTTTATTTTCTAGAACTGTACAATGTAGGGAAATAAAAATAATACTTTACAAGTGCACATGATGCACAGTAAGGTTCAACAGCAATTAACATTGTATTTTACAATCAATAAGATGTGTATGTGGCCAAGGAGACCCAGAACAGAAAAGCAAACAACTTGATAAACAATGTGCAGTCAGTTAAAAGACAGGTAGCAACCACAAACCTGGTTACAGTGGAGAAACAAAATCTGAGTAGGAAAAAATATTCTTTTTACCACCTCACAGCAAAAATGAAGCTACATTATCTGTTTATGAAACACTCCCTGCATTGCTTCTAGTGCATCTACAATGCTGCTTTGGTTTTAAGGGAAAGTTTCACTACTAATTTCTTCTGAGATACACAATTCAAGAAGCTCCCCCTAAATGCATGGGAATGGCACAGAACTACCTTAAAATTGCATGGAACTGCCGTGTTTTTAACATCACCTACTATTTTTTCTGTACTTCAAGAAACTCAAAATCAGTTCAAAACAACCCACTACTGGTCCACCAAGTGCCAGGGTTTGTTTCTTTATTTAAAAAAAAAAATAAAAAATTAAGAGTGGTATACATTGAATCCACACTTCCACCTATGCAAGCTGACATCCTGAAAGACTTAACACATCACTCACAACACAAACTTCAAAACATGTTTTCTGAGACCATGTACAGTACAAGCAGTGTGTTCTGTACCATGGCACACATGCTGTCTATCACTAACTAGTAGGCCATAAAAAAACCCCCATTACTTTCCAGCAGGCACCCCGTCACATTTCATTAGCAGAACATCACTTTGTAGCTCTTTATAACTACAGACAGTACGGCTGAGAATCCAGGCAAAATTCAGGGAGCTGTTGTGACAAGCAGTTAAGCTTCAAGGATCTTCCCCGTAATTGAATCATAAGCATTAATCTCATAAAGCATATTGTGAAAGCTGTTCTCCTTAAACAAAAACGTTTAGATAGTGCTAGCGTTAGGATTTGAGGACATGAGGAAGACTATGATTAACAGAAACGCAGCACACATGAAACACTTAGTCATCAGTCTACTAACAATGATTACAATAACAACAGTACTTTTGCATCATACTTTCCAAGGTTCAAATGAAGACATTCATATACGTAACTGGAAAAAACGGAGCAGTTAGTATGCAGACTAGAAACGAGGCCTAAACATATTGAAAGCTTAAATCTGAGGCGTGAATAGAACGAGAGAAGTGACTCCCAGCAAACTCGGCAGGGGACAGGCAGGACTAGCGAGCGGCGAGGGTGTCTCCGGCCGGCGCTAAGCTGCAGACAAGGCACTGCCAGCAGAGCGAGGAGGTGCGCAAGGTGAGGGGAGAACAACAGCGGGACCCCCCACACCACCGCCCCGCCCCGGCCCGCACCTGCAGGGTGGTGATGTGCTTATCGTTGAACTTGTTCTCGCAGTAGCGCAGCACCAGCGAGGTTTTCCCCACGCAGCCTTCCCCGAGCAGCACCACCTTGAAGGAGAAGCTGCGGCCCCC